TGCAGCGGGGGGCAGGGAGCAGAACATGGCCCTGATGAGCTCACGCGTGCGCCTGTCCCTGTCAGGTTCGAGAAGCTCGCTCAGGACCGCAAGAAGCAGCTCGAGATCCTACAGCTGGCCCAGGCGCAGGGCCTTGACCCTCCTAGCCACCACTTTGAGTCAAAGACATTCCAGACTGTGAGGTACGGAAGCCTGAGACAATGGCTCCATGTAGGAATGAGCCAAGAGGCTGGGAGCCAAGACTGGGGACTTAGGCCCGTTTAGTAAGAATTCCCGGGCTTGGTCCTGCCATGGCCCTGGGCCTAGGGATGTGGGAGGTAGGGCGTGGTGCCTGCCTGTCAGGAGCTCAGAGCTGTGGGTGGCTGAGGTCTGGACTGAGGTCTTTGTACCAGCTCTGCTGCTCCCAGCCCAGACGAGCTGTGCCTCCCTGCTCCCACTATTTCTGAGCACAACCTGGCAGGTAGGCCGTCCCTGGAAGCAGGGACCCTTCCCCACAGCACAGCTTCACTTTGGGCTCTTCCCCTTGTTTCTGGCTGTAGGATCTTCTCGGAACTCAACAGCACAGAAATGCATCTGATCGTTGTCCGGGGAATGAACCTCCCAGCTCCTCCAGGTAGCCCAAGGGCCACCCCTACTCCAGGAGGGTCTTGCCTAGACACTCTGCCCCAGCCAATGGGAGGCACTGGCTCCCCTTCATCTAAGGTGCTGACCCCCATTTCTCCTTTATAGGGGTGACCCCTGATGACTTGGATGCTTTTGTGCGGTTTGAGTTCCACTACCCTAACTCGGTGAGGGTCAGGTAGAGCTAGAACCCCATCTTCTGTTCGGGGACCTGGTGGTGTTTCTCCGTCCCTGGGAGGTCTGGCCACAGGGATAGGCGTCCCTTCTCTCAGCACTGGCTTAACCCAAAGGACCCGTTTTTCAAGCTGACCACCCTTCTTCCTCTTGCCGCTTTAGGACCAGGCTCAAAAAAGCAAAACAGCTGTGGTGAAGAACACAAACTCTCCAGGTGGGGGCCGCTTTCTCCTCCCTCATTCTCTGATATGTGCATGTGCAGCATTTGTGTTTCCAGATCTGTTATCTTACTTGGTACTTAACTTGGGAGATAAAAGCAGCTATTACCACTTCTCTTATGTAGTTGGGGAAACTGGGGCTTGGAGAGAAAAAGGGACTTGCCTATGGCCTCCAAGCACAAAGGTGGTGGGAATGCAATCCCTACTCCAAATTCCATGTCCCTCCCATTTGAGCAAAATCTGTCTTTTTTTAAAAAAATATATTTTATTGATTTTTTTTTTACAGAAAGGAAGAGAGAGGGATAGTTAGAAACATCGATGAGAGAGAATCATCGATCAGTTGCCTCTTGCACATCCCCTACTGGGGATGTGCCCACAACCAAGGTACATGCCCTTGACCTGAATCGAACCTGGGACATTTCAGTCCACAGGCTGATGCTCTATCCACTGAGCCAAACTGGTTTCTGCTATTTTATTGATTTTTTATAGAGAGGAAGAGAGAGGGATAGAGAGAAACATCGATTAGAGAAAAACATTGATCAGTTGCCTCTTGCACACCCCCTATTGGGGATGTGCCCGCAACCAAGGCACATGCCCTTGACTGGAATCGAACCCAGGACTTTTCAGTCCGCAGGCCAAAGCTCTATCCACTGAGCCAAACCGGTTTCGGCAAAATCTGTCTTAAGAGCACAAGAACTGAGTGGATTTGCAAGACCAGGACCTAGGTTCCACACCCTCTGGTGGTAGTCTTACTGAGTGACAGGCAGAGCAATCCAGAGGGGAGATCAGCCCCTGGGAAGTCCCTGGTAGCCAAGCCCCTTCTCCCACTCTTGCAGAATTTGATCAGCTCTTCAAATTAAACATCAACCGAAATCACCGGGGCTTCAGAAGGGTGATCCAAAGCAAAGGAATCAAGTTTGAAATCTTCCACAAAGGGTGAGACCCCGTCAGTCATACTGCCAAGGTGGGCTCGGAGGAAGGAAAGGCTTCTATTGCTGCCATCCCTGCTGCTACTCAGCTTTCTTGTGCTGGTCTCAGCCAGCTCATTCCTGCTTCCCCTGCCCAGTCCAATCCTCTGCTGACCCTTGGCTCCCCAGATCCTTCTTCAGAAGTGACAAGCTGGTCGGCACAGCGCACCTGAAACTGGAGCAGCTGGAGAACGAGTGTGAGATCAGAGAGATTTTGGAGGTAGGACCGAGATTGTAGAGGTGGGGTGGGGGAACCAGAGGGCTGGCAAGTGAAAAGCCACTGTTCCCTGAGCATCAGTCCACTGTAGGATTTTTGTACCCATTAAAAATAGCCACAAGTGTGCTGTGCAGTAGGTGCTATGCCCATTTTACAGGTTGAGATTCAGAGGGACTGACAAAACTTTCTAGCATCACCCTTTCGGAAAGTAGCTGTTCTTTAACACTCTGGGCCACTCGAGTTCCCAGGGGTGGCGGAGGACGGCCCGGTCATTGCTATCAACTTGGCACTCCTACATACGAAGGACAGAGTCATGGTTGGACAGTAGTCCGGCAGCTTGATGAAATGAAACAAGCTCTGGCATAAAGTCCATAAGGATTTCACAATCTGGGACCCCCACAGTGAAGCCAGACTGTTAAGGAATTGGCCCAGACAGCTCTTTCAGCTCCCATGAACTCATAAAAAATTTTTTTAAAAATACATTTTTATTGATTTTGTACAGAGAGAAAGGGAGAGAGTTAGAAACATCGATGAGACATCGATCAGCTGCCTCCTGCACACCCCCTACTGGGGATGTGCCCGCAACCAATGTATAATACATGCCCTTGACCGGAATCGAACCCTGGACCTTTCAGTCCCCAAGCCGACGCTCTATCCATTGAGCCAAACCGGCCTTGGCAAACTCATCAAATTTCACAGCAGTGACTCTGCTTGCCTTTGACATGAGGAAACAGGTCCAGAGAGAAGGGTGTGTCCTCAGCAGTGTGTGGCCGAGACCCTTGCTGCTGCCTTCATAAGTGGGGCTTTTCCCACCATGGTGCCCCCACCTCCCTCTGCCACTTTCCTGGGGCTTTTTACTAAGTGGTTGGTATTGGCCACATTGGCGGTTAGACTTCTTAAGGCTGCAACACTCCCTGCCTTGCACACCAGCTTCCCCTTCCTGCCCAGGAGGGAGGCAGCATGGTGGGTAGAAAGGAACCCCCGGCCTGGTTCTCGTTCTGGCCTCACCGCACTGGCAGTGTATAGAGATCCACTCTCTGGGCCATCTGTGAAGTGAGGGTCTGGGCTTAGTGGTTTTTCAGATTGCACCTTTAAGCCAGAGGATTTCTTCCATGGGGAAACTGAGTGACCAGAGTTATTTGGATTTACATATTCTTTTTGGTAAGACTTACCTGTGAGGTGGGCAGCTCTCTGGACCCACCATCAGGGTTGTCATGAAGTAGAGATTCCTATGTTGATAGCACAAAATGTTTTAACTCCTCATCCTTTACCTGTGAGCACAGAGAGCTGCCTGCTCCAGCCTGTCCCCATCGGTTACCATCTCCTCTCTGCGATCCTCAGGTCCTGGATGGAAGGAAGCCCACTGGGGGCAAGCTGGAGGTGAAGGTGCGGCTGCGGGAGCCTCTGAGCGGCCAGGACATTCAGCTGGTCACCGAGAACTGGCTGGTCCTGGAGCCGAGGGGCCTGTGAGGTGGGCAGCTCTGCGGACTCTCGGAACCTCGGCCCAGGCCCCACCGGGCACTTCCAGCGCGCAGCTCACGTCGGGGGAGAAAGCCTCAGCGGTTCTCATCTGTGAGGAGGATCAAAAGGCCCAACTGTTGGGTAGGCCTTGGCCTGAGTTTCTTAGGAACCTCAGTAGATCCTCGGAGGGAAGTTAAACCCAGGTCAGTTTTCAGGAAAACCTTTCTGAACTCTATTTGTATATTCACTGCAGTTTAGACTTACTTCCTGTGCTTTGTGCCTGTGCTTCAGACAGTCAGCGCTGGGAGTGGTCAGGCCAGCGGCTGTGTGCAGAAGCATCCTTTCCCAGCTTTGCTGGCTACAAAAGCCTTTGTACATAGGGAGTGAGATGCTGCTACACAAACACCAAAGACCTGTACGTACGTACGTACATTACCAACCACGCCCTGGTCCCTCCTGTTGCTGGCCCCTTCCTGGGCCTCCACACCAAAGCAGGCGGATTCCAGGAGCTGCTTCCCCTTCCCTCTGGGCAAAAGCAAGGAAAGCCTCATTGCTCTGTGCCACGGAGTCTTGCAGCCCCTGAACCAGTGTAGCAACTGTGTGCAGCTTACCCTAGCCCCTAGTTGCAACATTTCTGAATGTGCCTTTAAAAGACGTTAACTGTAAAGGACGGGAGAACCGAGAGTGATGGGAACTCCCCTGCTTGGGGTGGTGCAGGTTCCGTGACTCGGTTGTCATGGTCTGTGCCACAGCTCGGTTTACGCCCGCTCTGCCTGTGCCTTGTTTCCTGACAGCTGCTGCACCAGCTGCCTGCTCCCCAGCTCTATGGAGGAAGGAAGTTATGTTTTGGACTATCTGGTGGGAAGTAGGCAAGGCTGTACCTTGGGTTTGGTCTGTGCACCTAACACAAAAAGACTGCTAACGGGGGGATACAAAAATGTATGTACCTTTAATAAACTACGTCTAATTCACTTATAGGGGTTTTATGCCCTAAATGCAGGGTAACCATCAAAATCCTAATCAAAACTCCTACCGTGTTCCCCGAAAATAAGACCTAGCGCATGGAAAGATAAGACATCCCCTGAAAATAAGACCTAGCGCAACTTTGGGAGAAAAAAATTAATATAAGACACTGTCTTATTTTGGGGAAACAAGGTATCACTTTTGAAAGGCCAGAGTAGCAGTAACATTTAATTGACAGGAACTGCCGCTGTGGCTTTCTCCTCTGAGGGCAGAGGAAGCCTCGCCTCGTCAGCTGGTCACTGAGGGAAATCCCTTCGTTCTCCCAAGACACTGTCCTTCGGCTTTGTTCTTCTGAATGGATGGAGACGGAGGGATTTATAGTTGCAATAAATTTAATATTCAAAACGGCAGTATTCTACATTTCTTAGAAATAAACCTTAACATCCCATTCCCTCTCCCCCACACCCATTTTTAAGCATTAGCTTAAGTTAGACCAAGCATTCCTTGAGGTCATTTTTAAAGGCTCTAAGTGAAGCAGATACATTCAGCTTACTGGTCACTGCAGCACTATGTAAGCACAGCTCAGGGATTAAGTTTGTGTGTGTGTCTTTTTCCTACACAGGGCTGGACCGTGCTTCCCTGCCCTTGTAGCAAATATTTTAGAGGGTAACAGCAGGAAGGACAAAAGACTTTTTTTCTAAGAGCTTTCTGACCAGACTTATTTAGCCATTAAAACTACCCAACTTTCTACAGATGTGAGATTTAACACTTAACTGTAGTTACATCTGTGTGTCAAAGCAGCAGAAATCTAGAATGAAAGAAGGGTTGTTAGCCTTCCTAAGGTGGCCTAGGGCAAAGAAGGGTTTGTACCACAACCAGTGCTTACTAAGAGGGCAAGGACAGCTATGGTTACCCCCAGAGGCTCCAACCATCGGAATCCCTAACCTCAGGCCTCTGCTGGAAACGCCTGTTCCAATTGGTAGGAGTGTTCTGCGCCTCACAGATTTCCTGTTGCAACCTGGCCAGTTCTAGTCTCCTTCACTGCTCCTTGCTTTTTGAAAAGCAAAACCTCCAGGCTGAGGGAGGCGAGACAAAGCGCCCACTGGACTGGAGACTGCGGCTCTCTCTGAAGGGCCTTTGTGGCAGCCAGGGCCTGCAGGGTCACTGGAGTGGGAGGAGCCTGCCCAGCCTCATCTTATCCTGAGGTTTGTCCAACTGCAGAAACCAAACAGATTAGTGATTCAGGGACAGAGAAGCTGCCATGACCCAAATTATTTTTAAATTGTAAATTCTCTTTAGTGCAAGGCATACTTTCTTCTGAATTAGTGAACTAAACATAATACAGAAGCAATTTTTCATAGAAAGTCTTGCTCACAAAGGGCAAACTATTTTGTGGCTTTTAACATTATTTTCCTTTCTTATACCACCGTTGTTGAAAGCTTGTTTTCTGAATTTTGTGGGTAGTTCTCAAAGATCTTGCCCCTTGCATAGGCAGCTCCATTTAAGATGAAACTGGGACTGAGGCTGGTGGAGCCAGGGAGCTTGTTCCTGGTCCAGCCCGTGGGCCTCAGCTTCCCAAACTCCCAAGTGGCATTATCATTCCTGCTTCACCCCTTAGCCTTCAGGCTGTAGGTACGATTCCTAAAAGTCCCATTACTGTTTAAATTATTTTAACATTGCTGTTAAAATGGAACAATATAAAAAGTGTTCAGCAGATTGCTTGATTATTGTCTGAAATACATTAAATGCATAAACTTTCTCTGGTGACTAATTATGACAGAAGTAAGTTTAGTTGGAAATGGCGAGCCCACCAGCATTCAGGAACCACTGGATGAGGGAAGATACTAGAACGGAACATACACAAGGTAACGTCCTCTTTCTAGAGCCCAGTAGATGCTCAGAAAGTGTTGATAAAAATAAATGGAGAAACACCTTGTCAGCATTTGGTAAGAATGCAATAATTTTTAAAAATTTAATGTTACCATAATGGCAAGCCTATCGCTCTTCAGTTTATAAGGATCTCTATATGCCAATCTTTAAGTTTGTGTTCTAGAAAAATTTGACATATTTATAAATGTGATGTTTCAGCTCTCTGTATAACTATTACAATATACAATGTACAATACAAAGACAAAGCAAGTGGAGGGTGGTAAACTAGCCCTGGCTCTATTATGCCCCGTTCCACAAGATGTTTTATGCAAATTGAGAATGGACCTGACTCTGCAGGGCCAAGAGTCTATCCTCAGTGGGAGAATTTTAAAGTTTGCACTGATCCAGAAGTAATACGTTCATTGCAAGGTATATTTAACTGGACAGGAGGAAAGAAAAATTTCTGTAGGAAAAAAATGGGACCAGCATTTGTAGAAGCTCCAAATTTCCAAGGCATATTTAGACCAAGCTGGAGGTTACACCCCAAATCCCTGCCCTATTAAGCATTCCTATCAGGTTTTGGAGGGATGTGTGATCCCAAGGCTCAGTACATGCTGGAGTGCTTTGGGCGTCTACTCTTCCCTTAGAAGCTCTGGGTGCCTCAGCCTGTGCAAAAAGGTTACAATCACAGCTCCCTGCAGCAACCATCAGCACAGAATGTGGATCCACCACCACCACGGAGAAGGGATAAACATAGGCAGACATACTTCAAACTGAAGGCCAGGCTTGTGGGCCTGTTTGGAAAACGGCTGCTAAACAGCTCCACGGCCTTTAACTGCCAAGTGCTAAGCCAGCTCTAACCACTGGGAAGCGGCCTCTCACTGTCCCGGAGGCCTGCACTAGCTGCCAGAGGATTCTCAGAGCTGTGCTTACAGAGAGGGACCATCTGCTGCTTGGCCTGGGCTTTCAGAAGATAACAGTGATAAGAGTGAGTCACCTTAGAGCTGTGCTTTTCAAACTTTGGGTTGTGAAATCCATTAGGTCTGTGACCAGAATAAATTTTTAGTGAAAAAGAAAGTACTTTGACTTCATCACATATATCATGGATAAACCAAACCTTGGTTTCTAATATCACTAAAAGAAACTATGGCTGATTCCCAGGCTGGGGCAGCGTGAGCACGAGATGAGCATGGAGAATCTTGTTAGGACAGAAAGCAAAGTGTTCAAAAAGATGATGGAGTATTTCACAAGGATGGACGAGCTACCCAGAAGTGCTCTATGGCCAAAGCTGCACTGAGGACCCAAATAATGGGTTAGAACCTTCCAAAATGTAACCCACAAGTCCACCATGAAAATTAATTAAGCGAATACGTAAATAGGAAAGAAGGAAGAGCTTTTGTTTACATTGACCAAGTACAACTTGTAAAGGTGGAGGGAGTTCTGGAATTGAAAAATCTGTAGCCATCACAGTAAAAGATCAGTTCAGATAAGAAACATCCATGGGTGCTAAATCTTAAGGGAAATTTTGATGAGTAAGGTATTTGCATGATCTGAAAGTGTCTGTACACATTGGTTATTCATTCCAGGGGGGGCAGGGAACTGGAGAAATTGGACAACACTGAACAGGTGCACACATCACTTAGGATTCTGGCCAAGAATGCATAAACTGATTCTAATTATGGAAAGATACCAATCAAATTTAAAAAATTAGGTAAGGGAACTATACTCATCAAAAGTATGGAGGACATAAAAAGATACAGGTGGGTCAGTAAAGCTATTTGCCTTGTCTGATCCCAGGCGAGCAGCTTCACCGGAGGGGGAAATGCTGCGAGGGACACTAGAGATAGATGCTAGAGTAAGGCAGCTGGTATATCAACGGCAAATTGACTAAAGTTGCGAACTGTCCTGCTGTAATGGAAGAAAATGTCTTTAATTTTAGGAAATAAGCATTAAAGTATTTAGGGGTAAGAAGCTATTAGCTATGCAACTTACTCTCAAATGTCTCTATTTTTTTGTGGAGAGACACTAATAACGCAAATGGGCAAAAGTGTTAATTGTAACAACAGGCGAATCTAGATAAAGTATACATAGGACTTTTTTTTATTTGCAATTTTCTTGGGAGTTTAAATTATTTCTCAGTAACGTTTTAAAAAATACATCTAGTGTATATTGTAACTAAAAATGCCTTGGGTATATTGTCAGCTTTCACCGAAAGGCCCAATTCAATACCTGCCATTCACTGGGGCAGAGCTTGAGCAATCCTCAACTCGGCTCTGCTATCCGGTCACCTCACTTACAACTGACTGCCCTTCCTCGGCTGGGAGAGGGATAATCCGTTGGGTAATCTGGTAAAAACAAACAAAAATGTAAGGGTGACTTGTACTTGAAGTTACTGGGAGACAAATAGAACAAGATCAGTGTGTGATCCTTTTTGTATCAATTCTGTACAAAGAGTACAAGACTGATGCTTCATTTTTTATTTCCTCTCTGCCCTCCCACCCCACCCTTGGTGATGGTTGTATCCATTTGATCATTTCTGAGCATAAGACCATAAATGAGTCTTAAAACAGGAGCAGAATTCTTGTTTAAACAGTAACAGAAGGGGATTTAGCTGCAAGGATAGTATAACGGTGGTGCAGTAATGGAAGTTGCCCGGATCTTGTGGACAATGCATAGAAGACTTAGAATTACGGAATATCTGTCCCCCCAACCACCCTCGTCTCCAAAACCCCACTCCCCTCCCCCCAATTAATAGTGTTAACAAAAGCTTAATCCTCCAGTTCTAAAGTGCAAATGACTTGAGTATGACTTCTGTTGCAGCAGGTCTGAACAGAAAAACCACGAAGTCCTCTGTCTAGGCGATGTTCTCCAGAATGTAAAAGATGAGCTCCATGACGACGGGGCCCTCGCTGAGCTGGCAGGCCCCTCCATGGATCACTGGCACCAGAGCGCTGTCCAGGTCGTTCATGTACTGCGAGGGGAGCGGCTGGCCATTGCTCCCTGCTTGGTAGCCAACCTATACCACAGGGAGAAGGATGACAAGTTACTGGGTAGAAAAGATCAGGGAGCTGAGGGCCAAGGAGGCTGAGCAGGAAAGGAGATGGGCTTCCTGACCAAGGGCTAGACACACAGCAGTTAACACACTTTCCCCTTCTCTTCCCTACGCTGTCATTTTTCATCCTGTCATTTATTCATCCTGACCCTAACACTTGGTAGCCACGAGACCGTGGGCTCTTAAGACACTCAACCTGGTAAGGTCTTAGTTCCCCAGGAAGGGACTGAGGTGCTGTGGAGAGGCAGGGAATGTCACCAATAAAACCTAAACCTACGGCTGTGAAAATTAAAATGGGACAACCATCTGGCCCCACACCGTATTTTGAGTGCCTACTAACACAGGTAATTCAAAGGTGAGTGGAACAGGGCCCTGGCCTCTCATCAGTGAGAAATTCTTGTTTTTTTAATTGTTTTATGTGAAGTAACTCCAGATTACTGGTACCATTTGACAAAAAAAAATGACACCTCATTTGTATTACTCTGCTATGCTTAGTATAGCATGGGGAAAGACGTTAAGTACAAAACACATCCATTCTTGATGGACGACTAGTTAGGAAATGGAGCCAGATATATAATCTCCCACATTTCCCCTAATAACACAACTGCATCTAAACAGGAACACGGACCTGTCCCAGGGATCCAAAACCCAGAAGAAATGTACAGGCTTTGCTTTACTGTGCTTCGTAGATACTGAGTTTTTTACAAATCGAAGGACTGTAGCAACCCTGCATCAAGCAAGTCTTATCAATCACCATTTTCCAACAGCATTTGCTCACCTTGTGTCTCTGTCCCATTTTGGTAATCCTAGAGGCATTTCAAACTTTATTACATTTGTTATGGTGATCTTCGATCAGTGATCTTTAATATTGCTATTGTGATTATTTAGGGGTGTCACAAACTACACCCATAAGACTGCGAATTTAACCAATAAATTTGTGTTCTGGCGGCTAAAATGACTGGCCATTACCCCATCTCTCTTCCTCTCTTCAGGCTTCCGTAGAGACACAACAATATTCAAATTAGGCCAATTAATAACCCTAAAATGCCTCTATGTATTCAAGTAAAGGGAAGAGTCTCCCATCTTTCACTTTAAACCAAAAGCTAGAAATGAACAAGTGAAGAAGGCACATCCAAAGCTAGGCCTCTTGCACCCTATGGTCACGCTGTGAATGCAAAGGAAAAGTTCTTGAAGGAAGTTAAAAATACGCCAGTGCTAAAGTGAAGCACCCTTATTGCCGATATGGAGAACGTTTTAATGGTCTGAATCGAAGATCAAACCAGCCACAACATTCCCTCAAGTCAAAGCCTAATCCAGAGCAAGGCCCCAATTCTTCAATTCTTTGGCGGCTGAGAGAGGCGAGGAAGCAGAAAAAAAAAAAGTTGGAAGCTAACAGGTTGGTTTTTGAGTTTACGGAAAAGCAGCTATCTCCGTTAACAAAGTTGAAGGTGAAGCAGTAAGTACTGTTGCAAATTATCCAGAAGATCTAGCTGAGATAATTAGTGAAGGTGGCTACATTAAATGGAGACAAAACAGCCTTATATTGGGAGAACATGCCATCTGGGGCTTCCATAGCTAGAGAGAAGTCAATGCCTGGCTTCAAAGGGCAGGGCCGTGCAGCTGGTGACTTTTAAGTTGAAGTCAATGCTCATTTACCATTCTGAAAATCTTAGGCTCCTTAACAATTATGCTCATCTATTTTGCCTGTGGAACAACAAAGCCTGGATAACAATATATCTGTTTACTGAGTATTTTAAGCCCACTGTCTAGACCTACTACCCAGACTCCTTTTAAAATATTACTGCTCACTGACAATGGATCTGGTCACCAGAGAGCTCTGATGGTGATATACAATAGATTAGTGTTTTAATGTCTGCTAACCCATCCACTATGGGTCAAGAAGTAACTTAGACTTTCAAGTCTTACTTTTTAAGAAATACATTTTGTATCTGCCATAGATAAGAGACTACTTTGATGGATCTGGACAAAGGAAATTGAAAATCTTCTGGAAAGAATTCACTATTCTAAGTGCCATTAAGAACATTTGTGATTCATGGAAATGGGTCAAAATATCAACATTAACAGGAGTTTCGGAAAAAGTTGCATGACTCTGAGGAGTTTAGTGGAGGAAATAATAAGCAGATGTGGCGGGAACAGCAAGAAACCTAGCATTAGAAGTGGTGCCTGAGGGGTGACTGAACTGCTGCAATCTCGTGATAAAACTTTAATGGATGAGGAGTTGCTTCTTACGTAAAGAAACTAATCTACCCCTGGTGTGAAAACTTGAAAGGCAACAAAGGATTTAGAATATTTCATAACTTAGTTGATGAAGCAGTGACAGGGCCTGACAGGACTGACTCTAATTCTGAAAGTAGTTTTGGGGGTAAAATGCTATCAAACAGTATCACACATTACAGAGAAATCATTCATGAAAGGAAGTCAATCATCAAGCTTCGTTATCTTAAGAAATTGCCACAGCCACCATCTTCAGCAGCCCCCACTCTGAACAGTCAACAGCCATCAACACTGAGTCAAGACCCTCCCCCAGCAAAAAGATTTTGACTCACTGAAAGAATTTTTTATCAATAAAGTACTTTTTATATTATTGATTTCAGAGAGAAAGGAGAGAGAAACATCAATGATGAGAATCACTGATTGGCTGCCTCCTGCACAACCCCTACTGGGGATCAAGCCTCAAACCTGGGCATGTGCCCTTGACTAGAATCAAACCTGGGACCCTTCAGTCCTTAGTCCGATGCTCTATCCATTGAGCCAAACCAGTGAGGGCAATAAAGTACTTTTTAGTAAGGTGTGCACATTGATTTTAGACATACTACTACTGAACACTGTTTAACAGACTACAGTGTAAATGTAACTTCTATATGCACTGGGAAACAAAGTTCATTTATTGCAATAGTCACTTATTGCTATCGCCTGGAGTGGAATCCACAATGTATCAGTTATGTCTTATAGAGAGATCAGATGCTGGGGCATGGGAGAGAGGCAATGGGACAAGGGACTCGGGGTGGGGGTGGGGGACCACATATGCTAAGAATGTATTATTGCTGCCTGGGTGGCATGGCTCAGTGGTTGAGTACCAACCTATGAACCAGGAGGTCATAGTTCAATTCCCAGTCAGGGCACAAGCCTGGGTTGTGGGCTGAATCCCCAGTGGGAGGGCATGAAGGAGGCAGCCAATCAATGATTCTCTATCATTGATGTTTGTATATCTCCTCCAAAATCAATTTAAAAAAATTTTTAATAGATTATTGCTATTAACAGCATACCAAAAAATCTGAATAAGAAAGGGAGAGAAACTTGACCACAGGAGACCTGAGCTGACAGGGAAATTAATGGGAAAATAGCTCAAGTCCCATCTACTAACAAACATGGAAAGGTTCACAGAAAACTTGGAGGAGGGGGAGCTGCAGAGGCCAGTCAGTAGAGGCCTGCTGTGGTCAACAGGACAAAGGACAGCTGGGACCTGCTCTCTTCATGGGCAGAATGACCCCTGAAGGGTGGACTGAGTCTCCATGGGCATCATCCATGTCATGCACACGGGGTGGCAGATGACACACACTCCTAACCCTAAAGCCCTTGGAACATTTTCAGGTGAGGAAGCCAAAGTTCAAACGATTCGGTCTGATGGAACAGCACATCCAGGTGTATTTTTAATAGAGGGAAGGCCGGGTCCAAAGAAACTCTGGCCGATGCAGGGAAGCTCACATGTCAGAAAACAGAAGCTGGCCAGCTCCCCAGGCCAGCTCCCCAAGCTGCCTAAGGATCTCCTTACCTGATCTGAGTCCAGTGTCACACGAAGTCCCAGTTTAGTCATTCCATCTTCCTTCAGGAGCTTCAGGTGGGGACAGAGAGCAAGGCAGAAAGCCTTGGCGATGTGCTCGGTCAGCCGGCTATGATCTGCTGGATCACTCAGGCAACTGTGCTGGTCGTCATTTTCTAGGAAAAACACCTGTTCCCCAAACGAAAGAGACTTCACCTTGTGCCAGGAGATGTGGGAAGACGGTGCAGCAGCTCACTGTGCGAGAGCACCTGATTTGTGGAGGTGTGCAGAGTTCTGACATGGTACCTCAAAGTCCCTGGGACAAAAGTGGGGCACTAACATCTTACATCCAAGAAACAATCTCAGTCTCTGAATCTACAAAATGGTAGCAGCCACCTGCCATTTTCCCTGGAAGCCATAGACAGGGTCATCCTGGTACATTCTACTCAAAACCTGTATGTGGACGATTTTTTTAGGAACTGATCTTACAGTCTAAGAGAATGGCTCCTAACAGCTTTTGTGGCCCAAACCCTTCATATTACAGATTACATATAGAAGGGAGGTGATTCACCCAAGTGTATGTAAGTATTTAGAGACAGAGACAGGCGTAAGCCCAGAATCCAGGTCTTCTGTCTCTTACACAGAGTTTTTGCCACCACACTAGTGTAGCTTTGCCTTTGCTGAGGCCAGAGCTATGCCAGTGTGCACGCACTGGGCATGGGGAGAACATAGCAAATTTGGAACTGAGAGACCTGAGACCTAGTCGCATGGAGCAAGGTGATGAACAAATCCTTTGGCTTCTGAATGCCCAATCTGGGTTTATAAAATGGAAAGCATCTGTTCGCTCTAGTTACTATAAAAAAATTATATATTAGCAAAATGGGTTTATATATACCAGCCTCTAGCCTAGTGCTCAATAAGCTTATACTAAGAATACTAAGAGGAGTCGGCTCTGAAGCCTCTGACGATGCACAGGTGAGAGTGCCAGCATGGAAAGAGGGGAGGAGTGGGGGTCAGGAGGCCGTGGCCTCTGCTCGGTAACTAGCATCAGGCAGCCCAGTCTCTCAGCCTTTCAGAGCCTTTCTCACTATGCAGAAATGGTCGCCACCGTGTCTCACTGGGTTACTAGGGAGCAAAAAGGAGGGAACGGAGGTCAAACTATTTTATAAGCAGGAAGAGTTTTATGTTCCAGTGTCTGAACTGCTCAAAATATGTCAAAGGAATAGTCATAAAGCAAGCAGGTAAGACTCTGAGCTGTGTATGAAAACTCTGGGCTTGGTATGAAGGACACATCACTTGCAGCAACAGCTCAAGAACTGCAGAACCAGACTTTAGCCTCTGCTATCAGGAACCAGCTATGTGACCTTGGGTAAGGCACTTGGCCTCTCCTGCCTCGGTTACCTTGTGTGCAAAAGAGAAAAGCTAGAAATCACAGAACTTTAAAAAAAAAATTACTTTTAAAGTTGCAAGGAATCTTAGAGATCTTTAACTTAATAGTGTATTTTATAGGTAAGTATAAATAAGGTTCAAAACAAATTGGGAGACCTAGCAAATAAACTCTGATTTGTCTGAGATGCACACACACAGGTCTCTGCCCTGCTCCTCTCGCCCCAGATCAGCCTCTAAGACAGCTTTCGAGTTCAGAGACAACACAGCGGGAAAGAGCTTAGGAGCTGGCAGATCTGGGTTTGAATCAGGACTCTGACATTACTATTTGCCATGTAAGTTTGGACAAGCTACTCAGTCTCCAAACTTTAGTTTTCTTTTGTTCTTTTTATAGTTGACACACTGGTTTTCTATTGATGAAATGAGTTAATTCTTAAAGACCGTGTTATCTAAGATAGTTTAACTGGGAGTGCAGCATAACTAGCCCAGCTTTCTAACTCATACAGCAAAGATGGTATGTACCATTCAGAGGTGTCTTCTTTGTGAATCCCAACGCAAACAAACCCGACAGCTGTGCACAGGCAGGAGCAGACATCAGGCTGCGGCCTGCACTTGGGGGCATTTCTTACCGGTGAGCTCAGACAGACCAGGGGGAACTGCAGTATAGAAGACAGGGTTTCCCCCCCCTTATCCTCCAGAATCAGGCCAGATGTGTCTCTGGTCCTAGCAAAAGTTGAGCTCAAAGCGGGTTAAGAATGCCAAGTTTTATTTCCTTACCTCAGTCCATCTGATGACTTTTCCATTTGCTTTATACTCTGACCCGTGGAATATCTTCACACTTGTTATAGACTCCATTAACTTCCCATCTATGGGACTTATGACACTAAAATAGAAGCAAAGAAAAGAGATGGAAGCAGCTCTGGAAGTCAGAAGAGCCACTTCTCTTAACAAATTTTGCAATTAGTGACACCGGGCACCTTGCCAAACACATCTGATCAACATATCATAGCAAGAAGCCACTACATGAACATGTATGAATAGAGTGCTCATGGGAAGGGCTCACTAAAATAATTCAAAGAACACACACACAAAGGACTCATGATTCCAGGAGATGGTTATTTTAATATGAAGAACTCTTTACTCAAGCCTGCTCCCTTCTTGCAGCATTCCTTCCTTCGGGGAATGCACAGCCACCCCCCTTCAATTCCGCTCTCCCCTCTGCTCTGTCACAGCACTCTGCTCCTGACTACGACGACACCCATCATGTCATACTCACCATACATTTTGTGTATCCGTCTTAGAAATGAACTTCTGAAGGGGAGGAATATAATATATTCACCTTTGTGTGCTATATTTTCAGTTCGAACACAGTACTTGGAACATAGGAGTTTAATAAATGTTGATTAAAATATTTAACTGAGTATATTCATTATGACAGTGTTGATGTGAACTGGTGAACAAGTATCTATTTATCACAACAAATTCCCTTTGATGCTAAATTATCATTCCTAGATTCCTGAATAGAAAGGCCCACTATTTAGAGTCATTTCCTCTCCAAAATATAACAAGTATAAATAACTGGAGATATATATACTCATTGGTGATAAGGTTTAACAATGGAATCACAAGGATTCCAAACTCTTCCTAACAATTTTCAAATCTGCTTATGTTTTTCAATCTCTATGTACGTAAGATGAAATTTAACTTAAACTTCAAAATCAGGGATTCACTTCATTCACTTGATCATAATTATTTAAACAATGTTAAGTTTAATTGCTAACTCATCAGAAAGAACACTCTTAGTTGATGAGTTCTCTTGTGAGAGAGGGTACCCAGACAGAGGGACAAGGTGGAAAATGTTCCATTTGTATACTACAAACTACACTCCCGAGTCCCAGAGTCTCCGTGACTAGTTCTTGTCCTGTCTCCAAAGACGCTGCCAATGGCACCTGTAGAAAGAAGCCACCTGCTTGTTTTTAGTTACCAATATGTCATGGCATCAGATTTTCAGATGATCAATTTTTTGGTCCCAATAATCATGTTCATTTCCAAATGTAGTGGAGAATTAAACTGATTTTGAAATTAAATTTGCCAGTGAAGTATTGGAAGATAGAGGGTTATTTGTAAAACAGTCAAATGTACTCAACGATTTAGAAATTGCTTCTTTCTGTTCAGTAAGTTTTTGTGCCATGTTGTAAATGCCCTCTGTCTACCTTTGGCTCTGCTATTCCCGCCGGTGGAGGCCTCCTCTACCAGAGCCATGTGGCAAATACCCACTCATCCTACCAGATTCAGCTAGAGCAGCAGCTATTTCTCTATGGTAGGGGTGTCGAACTCAATCAGAGAAGGGGCCAAAATCTAAAATCCAGCCTAAATCGCGGGCCGAATGGTTTACTGAACAGTCATAAACTGTCATTGTGATGGAAACGCAGTGGAGTGCAGTGATGACAGCGCGGTGCGGGCCACATTGCAAGGCCTGGCGGGACGGATTTGGCCCGCGGGCCTTGTGTTTGACACATGTGGCCTAAAGGATGGATGGGTGGATAGATAGAAAGTGGATGGGATAAAGCTTAATAACAATGAGGTATAATATACTCATTTATTCAATCAATTTCTAAAGTACCTGCTAGGTACCAGACAGTACTTTGGATGCTGGCAGTATACTGGTGGCAGTCAATAAACCAGACAAAAGTCCCTGTCCCCATGGAGCTTACATCCCAGGGACAATGTAATCAGTAAAAATTTTTGTCCGTTAGAAACTTATACGTGCTCTTAGAACTATTCTGCACAGAAGGGGGATATAATTGGGGGGTGGGAAGAAAGAGATGTGTTCGACAGGGTTATTATTTAGATAGGTTGGCCACAGAACGCCTTACCGAGAAAGTTATATTTTAGAAAATTTTGAAGGCAGTGAGGGAGCGACTCAGGTGGCTTCCCAGGGGCAAAGTATTATATAAGCTGAGAGAACAGCCAGTGCCAGGACAGAAGTCTAGTTGCTGTGTCCCCGCAAGAAGGCAGGAGCTGCTTCTGAGAAGTAAGAGTGGGGCAGGGGGACGCAGACTGTGTAAGGCCTCAGAGGTCGCAAAGACTTTGGTTTTGACCCTGAATGATAATGGCAGCCAGTGGTAGGTTCTGAGCAGAGGAGCAACACTGTAGAATTAGAAACTGATTAGGCTGGGAAGAGGGAACAGGTCAAGACTAGAAATAAAGAAAGCAATTAGGAGGCTACTGCAATAAGGCAGACCAAACAATGGTGGCCTGAACTGGGATGATGGCAGCAGAGGTGGGAAGCAGCAGCAGTAAGAGTCTATGACATATTCTATGAAGAAAAGCTAACAGCATCCACTGTTAGATTAGGTACAGGGCCTGAGATACAGGCGACTCCAAGGTCTGGGCCTGAACCTTCCGAACACGAGCTGCCCTGCGCCTCGGCCCCGGGCGGCGGTCCTCGCCGGCCACTCCCCGCTTCGTGGAGGCGGTTGGCCTTGTGGTGCTTCCTCACTCCTCTGTGATACTGGAATAACACCAGTTCTATCAAATTAAACAATATTATAAAAGTGCTTTGCAAACCACACAAAGCTTAGATATTACTATTATCTCAATAACTTGAGAGAAATTGTTTTGTGAAACAATCAAAGTTTCCTCCCTTCAAAAATATGCACAGAAGCTCCTTCAGAAAGGAAGCCAGGAAGCCAGGAATTTGAAATTCTGCGTGGCGCCTGCCAAAGCAGTCTCTCAGGCGGGGCCTCCAGGGAAGTTGTAACACAGCAGCCAGACTGACCCAGAGCCCCGCCGTAACTGCATGCCTCAGGGGGAGTTTGCTGCCTTTACCCCTTGTTGACGTTCTTGTCGTCGTCCACCCACTGGATGTGGATGTGCTCCTGGGGGTCCTCGGCGTCTGCCTTGCCGCAGGTGATGGTGAAGTCCTTCATCTCTCGCAGCGCCTGCCTCAAGGCATCCATGTTCTCCGCAGTGATCTGGACCATGACGCCATCTGGGAATCAGCACGAGACAATACCGATGAAGACAATGAAAAGCCAGGGAGGGGGCAGTGAGAAACAGACCTGGAACTAGCAAAGCCCTCTAAATTAAATGTGAAACTTTGCCCTCTAGAGCGGACAGACAGCAGGTGTTGTGCTCTGAGCTGAGCTCTTCCTTACTGGAAGTGCTAAGAGGGCCGGGACCGGTTTGGCTCAATGGATAGAGCGTCGGCTTGGGGACTGAAGGGCCCCGGGTTCAATTCCGGTCAAGGGCATGTACCTTGGTTGCGGGCATATCCCCAGTAGGGGGTGTGCAAGGGGCAGCTGATCGATGACTCTCTCTCATTGATGTTTCTAACTCTCTATCTCTCTCCCTTCCTCTCTGTACAAAAATCAATAAAATATATTAAAAAAAAAAAAAAAAAGTAAATCCTAAGAGGAGCAAGTGCCAATATGTGTTCTGTTTAAAACACTTGCCTGTTGAATTCACTTCAGACACAACAGAGTTTCTCCTTATTCCAAATGATTGCAACATTCTTGTGGGTAACAGGGACTGAACCTCATCCACATGTTTACAGATTTGCGCCCAATGATATATTTAAACTTAGACTATATCCCCTTGGGTACCTTATCCCAAAGCTCTGAAAGGCCATCTCTTAAATAACTAGTGCCATTCCATACACATGTATTCCCTCCTAACCCCCCTTTTGTGCAATGCAGTTCTAAGACCACTGTCCCATAGAACCTTTACCACTTTCTTCCTTCTTTGGAGAACTAACCACTATTATGACAGCTTTAAGTAGCTGAAGAGTGAGACGCTACGGAATAAATAATGAGTCCAGAACTCTGGCAAAAATGTCAGTTTCCTTTAGTATCCTTTGCTTTTCGGTTGTACAAATAGGACTGAACTACTGTATGTGCAGTAAGTAACTCATTCTTTACCTTCCACAATACTGGACTTGGCAAGATAGCCTGAAGAGGATTTCAGAGCGCCACTGAACACGAAGAAACTGGCACCAGTCACTAAAACAACAAAAGAAATAGTTTAGTAAAGATAGACCCTGAGATTGAGAGACAGAGAACAATAATAAAATATGTAGTCATTGGGACCTCCAACCATCATCATCCAGAAGACAAGAAACACCAACTCTATACAAGTAACCAATAATTCTGATGCTTATGATAGGCTGGGAATGAGATTTTAAGACACAGGCTCCCACCCAGCCAGTGTGGCTCAGTGGTTGAGCACTGACCTATGAAACAGGAGGTCCTGGTTCAATTCCCCATCAGGGCACATGCCTGGGTTATGAGCTCAATCCCCAGTGTGGGAGGGTGCAGAAGACAGCCAGTCAGTGATTCTCTCTCATCACTGATGTTTCTATCTCTCCCTCTCTCTTCATCTCTGAAATCAATAAATTATATATATATATTTAATAATATACACACTCCCATTTTGTTTTGTTCTCTCTACAATCGAGAATCAAAGAATTTTACAGGCAAAGAAATCTTAGTGGTCAAGTCCTGGGCTTGGACGGAAGCCTGTTTTTATAGATAAAATTATACTGGAACACAGCCATGTCCATTCGTATACACATTTCTATGGCAGTTTTTGAAATATGATGTCACAGTGTTGAGTAGTTGACAACAAAGACTACAGGCCTGCAAAGCCTAAAATATTCAGAAAAAGTCTTCTGACCCCTGATCAAAATTCACTGGTTTCTAGGTGTGTGTTTAGGTTAAATATATTTTGAATATTGAGATATGGTTGCCAACTATTTTATTTACAGAGTGGAGCTATTAAAAACACAAGTATCTATTTGAAAGACAAACACCTGATACCATTGACTCTTCATAAAAGGCTATTTAATACATTTAGGTTTATGAAAACTTCTCTTCACTCTATTTCTCCACATCTTAAATTGGACTGAGCTGTTCCAGCTCCCTTCCCATTGGCCCCAGCACTTCTAATGGCAGGTCATCCAGCTTTGTCGAGGTTCCTACTGACAAGGAGCCCACAACAGCGCACTGCAGTCCATTCTACTTCTGGGTAACTCTCCGCGTTACAGAGAGTGATCGCAAATTGAGCTAAACCTAGATCCTTGTTACTTTCACACAATGGTGCTGGTTTTGGCCTTTTGTAGCTATTCAGAGTAAGTTGAATCTTTTCTACACATAACAAAAAACCTTAAAAATAGAGATAGCTATTTGTACTTTTTCAAGTAAAACATACTTCACTAAGGATGTCTTCCTTTGACCTAGTTCCCAGATTTTTTCACAGACCTTGAATCATCCTCTGATCATCCAGTTTTACCAATGGACATCATCAATTACATTAATAATATCCAGAACTTACTAAATACGAGAGGCCCGGTGCACAAAATCCGTGCATGGGCAGGGTCCCTAGGCCTGACAGTAATCAGGGCCAATCTGCGGGGCAATTGAGAGGCCCCCGCTGACACTCGCCTTGGCAGGCCTGATGCCGCCTGCTCACTGGCTCCATCCCCCGCTGTCACCCTGGGGCCTCCCTCTGCAGGGTGATTGGGAGGGCCCTCACTGGCACCCGCCTTGGCTGGCCTGGGGCCTGCGGGCTGGGGGCAGCTCCTGCGTTGAGCATCTGCCCCCTGGTAGTCAGTGTGATTCATAGTGGCCAGTCATTCCACCAGTCGTTCCACCACTCAGTCAATTTTCATATCAGGCTTTTATTATATAGGATTCTGAGTAAGATTTGGCTAATAGGGAGCACTGTGGACTTATCACCCACCTTATTTTGGATATGGTATTTGAATATATATGTGCTAAATACCTTTACTAACTAAATAACTGATTTTAAATATATATTAAAGAAAGTGGCCTTTAGTATGTCTTCTAGAGAAGTGCTTCATAAAGCAGACTAAAGAAAGCTAGTTTTAGGAGACATTCTGAGGGGAAAGAGACATACGGTAAGATAGATTTAGAAAAGGCTATACACACTACCCTTCTCTTGGAATCACAATACACATCGGCTGTTAAAGCCTCTAAAAAGAACAGTAGTTCTTTTAAAATCTGCTTAAACTGGTTTAACTCAGGATTTCTCAGTTTAATTTATTAAGCAAGACTTTCATCTATTTATATGAATATTAGAGGCCTGGTGCACAAAAACTCGTGCATTTGGAGGGGGGAGGCCCTCAGCCCAGCCTGCACCCTCTCCAATCCTTCTCACAATCTGGGACCGCTGGCTCCCAACTGCTCACCTGCCAGCCTAATTGCCCCTATCTGCCTCCCCCATCAGCATGGTCACCTCACGCAGCCTGCTGTTCAGTCGTTTGGTCGTCCCTCACTAACCCCGCTGCTGGCCTGGTCGCCCGTGCAGCCTGTTCAGTCATCCGTCCAGTTGTTTCGGTTGTGGCGACCCCTGGCTTTTTATATATTAGGATGTTTTAAAACCACAGAACCTGATAAGACACTTGAGAAAATGTCACACCAAGCAGTGATTCTTAGATTCTAATTTGTATTTGAATTGCACAGGGATTGTGTTAAAAAGCAAATTCTGATTTAGCAGATCTGGGTGTGGACTCTTCATTTCTAACAATCCCCTAAGTGATGAGATCACAATCCAAGTGCCTCTGAATCTAGAAACCTTCCCTCCATACCTACTCATTAACATTCTTTGAATATGGTCATTCAACAAACCCCAAATCTAAATATATTTTCACCATGGGGCCTCGCCTCCTACCTTCAGATATCAATCTGGCCCTGTCAATATCCTGAGGCAATACTTTTAAATGTTCCCCTCAATAACAGAGACGCCATTTGCAATTCTGCGTCTGGCTACTGGGGAGCCAATGTAACCTGGAAAATAAGCTTGGAAATGTTAACTTAATCAGGTTGTTTGTGGCCACCCTTCTAGAAAGTAAGTGTAACAGAGCTAAGTCCAGTACAATCTTCCATTCTCATCATCTCCATCAGCACAATTACTCACCCTTCCTGGGCTGGTTGTGAATACTGATGGCCTGGGTCTGATAGTTTCCATCATCGTTCTGTACACACACAAGATGAGAGTCTGCCTTCTCATTGAAGCAGGCACCTCCTGCCAGGACATGCTCGTTAGACTTGTTCATGGCTTTCATCACCTGCAACCAAAAAAGAGGGTTAGTTTCTTCTCTGCCAAGAATGGTTGTTTTTGGTGGTGTTTTTTTGTTTGTTTGTTTGTTTTGTCTGATATGACATAACTCTTTTACTTCTCAAAAAACCCCCACAGAATATTACTATTTACTAGGGGCCCAGCCTGCCCCCTCTCACATACTGGGAGCCCGCAGGGATGTCCTACGGATGGCTTAAGTCCACTCCCCAATGGGAGTGGACCTAAGCTGCAGTCTGGCTTCCCTTTGCAGGAGGCGACCAGGCTGACTGGGGCAGGCACCAGCCCATCACCCTGCTGCTGCAGCCACTGCCAGTCACCGCAGCCACCAAGGTCTTTTCATCAACACGGACTTCAGTCCCTTCACCATGAAAAAATGACTTTCTTTAGGAATTTTCAAGATGTGTCTTTCATAGGATATGACATTTCTTTATTTTTCTTTTTATCCTCACCTGAGGATATGTTTCCATTGATTTTCCCCCCTTCCTTCTGATCCCAGGTTTGGCTCCTGCCCAAGTCTAAAGCCTCCACCTGAGGCTTTCAGCTTGGGAAGGGCCCCCCACCACAACCCCTCCAATGGCCAGTTGGGAGTGACCTGGGTGCCAAAGAGGTTCCTGGGACCCAGGTATGTATGCAAATTAACCGCCATCTTTGTTAGGTTAATTTGCATCTGAAGCTAACCTAAAAATTCAGAGCACACCATTTTGTGTCTAATAAACAAATCTGAGCTTATATTATCTTGATGCTGAGACTCTGGCTTCTGGTTGAAAAAGGCTAATAATAATTTTTTATTTCCCATTTTTTCTTTCATGCCATCCCATTTGTCTAAATTTCTGATCCAATCCTTTAAAATGGCTTCAATCTTTTGAAAAACTAGTCCAAAATTTGTCTTTTGTTTTACTTCCCTGTCCTTCTTATGTAATAAACTGTATTATCCACACTGTGAAAAACACCACGTGTCTGGATACCTTTTATATTCCTATATCAATACACTAGAAAAAAACCACAAAAAAAACCTTACTGAAGTGAAATTTACATGACATAAAGTTAACCATTTTAAAGTGAGAAGTTCAGTGGTATTTAATACATTCACAATATTGGGCAACCACCCCCTTATCCAGTTCCAAATTGGTCCCATCACCTGGAGTAAAACCCTTGTTTGTGAACCAGTGTCTCCTCACTCCCTCTCCAAATACCAATCCACACTCTGTCTCCACGCATTTATTCTAGATGGTTCATATCAATAAAACCTTACACTATGTGGCCTTATGTCTGGCTTTTTTCACTTAGAATAACATTTAAGCTCTTCCATAGTGTAACATGTATCAATACTTCATTTCTTTTTATGGCTGAATAATATTTCATTATATATACAGTTGACCTTTGAACAACAGGGGAGTTACTGACCCCTTGTGCAGTCAAAAATACACCTATATTGCCGAGACCGGTTTGGCTCAGTGGTAGAGCATCGGTCTGAGGACTCAAAGGTCCCGGGTTCGATTCTGGTCAAGGGCATGTACCTTGGTTTCGGGCACTTCCCCAGTAGGGGATGTGCAAGAAGCAGCTGGTTGATGTTCCTCTCTCATCAACGTTTCTAGCTCTCTCTCTCTCTCTCTCCCTTCCTCTCTGTAAAAAAATCAATAAAATATATATTTTTAAAAATACACCTATAACTTCTGACTCCCCCAAAACTTAACTCCAGTCCCTTTGGTATCCATGAGGGATTGATTCCAGGGCCCCTGTGAATAACAAAATCTGTGGATGCTCAAGTAGAACAATGCTGACAGCTGGACCTCCACATTCACGGATACCAATTACGGATCAAAAATTCTGTTTAGGATCTGCAGTTGGTTGAATCTTCAGATACGAAACTTGGAGATACAGAGGAATGACGATATTTATTTAAAAACTAGGGGCCCGATGCACAAAGATTCATGCAAGAATAAGCCTTCCTTCCTCTGGCTGCCGGCACCACCTTCACTCCAGCCCGGGGCCCTTTCTGCCTTTGCTCCAGCCCAGAGCCACCTTCCACCGCTCGCCTTGTCACATCAATTTGCATACTCCCTCTTTATTGGCTGTGGTGCCACCAGCTTTGTCACAGAGTTATGGTCAATTTGCATATTTTGTCTTTATTAGATAGGATGCCCATGTAAATGGATCCCATAATTAAAACCTGTGTTGTTCAAGGGTTAAATGTTTATATACTACAACTGACGTATCCTTCCACCATGACCTCTGGGCTAGGTCCATTTTTTCACTACCATGAATAGTGCTACTGTGAACATGTGTATACATGTACTTGTTATGAGTTCCTGTTTTCAATTATTTTTAAAAAATATATCTGCATTCATTTCAGAGAGGAAGGGAGAGGGGGAGAAGGTAGAAGCATCACTGATGAGGGAGAATCACTGACTGGCTGCCCCCTGCAGGCCCTCTACTAGAGATCAAGCCCACAACACAGGCATGTGCCCTTGACTGAAATCAAACCCAGGACTCTTCAGTCCTCAGTCTGATGCTCTAACCACTAAGCAAAACCAGCTGGGGCTAAAATATATTTTAATTTAAAAAGCCACTGTAAATTTGATAGGGCTTGCATTTAACCTGTAGATCACTTTAAGTAGTATTGACATCTTAATATTAAATTTTCCAATCTAAGAACATAAGATATCTTCCCATTTATTTAGGTCTCTTCTTTAAGTTCTTTTAGCAATGTTTTATCATTTTCAGGGTATAAGTCTTTGCCTCCTTGGTTAAAATACAAGATACGATATGGCTTCACTTTATGTTTATAATTTTTGTAAAGTTAATGTTTTAATCTATTACTGTATCACCAGAGGCACCCAAACAATCTATATATATAAAAGCCTAAGCAACCAGTCGACCAGTTGACTGCTGGACCAGTCGCTATGACACATACTAATCACCAGGAGGCAGATGCTCAACACAGGAGCTGCCCCCTGGTGATCAGTGTGCTCCCACAGTGGGAGCCCCATTCAGCTGACAGGGATAAGCAGGGCTGGGATGAGTGGGAGCGGTTCCTCCCCAGATCCCCACAAGCCATGTGGAGGGACCCCATTGGTGCATGAATCATGGACCGGGCCTCTCATAATTAAATATTTCCTTCACACTGATATTTATCAACCTTATCAGTCCAAACCACTTCTATCAGGGTTTTTTTAAATCATCACCTGAGGATATGTTTATTGATTTTAGAGAGAGAGGGAGGGAGGGAGAGAGAGAAAAGGAGAGAGAGAGAGAGAAACGGTGATCAGTTGCCTCCCATTACCCTCAACCTAGGTATGTGCCCTGACAGGGAATTGAACCCACAATCTTTTGGTGCATGGGATGACCTACTAACTGAGCCACCAGGCTAGGGCAAGGAATACTTTTAAGTAAGTCTTTGGCAAACAAGATAAAAGTCAGATGGAAGATTCCTACTTAGAAAAGTCATCAGGGGCCCATGCCTGGGTTGCAGGCTCAAGCCCCAGTGAGGGGCATGTGGGAAGCAGTCAATCAATGATTCTTTCATCACTGATGTTTCTATCTCTCTCTCCCTCTTCCTTCCTCTATGAAATCAATAAAAATATATATTTAAATAGAAAAGTCAACACCCTAAAGTAGGCTCTCATTTGTAATTTATATTTGTAAAATATGAAAGAAACTGATATAATCATATGTAACAATTTAAAAGAATGTTATAGCCATAATTTCTTCTAAACCATTAGGCTAAAGAGGTTTCTAATTTGTCTACACTAAGCAGATTTAAGAAATATATATATATTTTTTTAATATATTTTTATTGATTTCGTACAGAGAGGAAGGGAGAGAGATAGAGAGCTAGAAACATCGATGATAGAGTCATCGATCAGCTGCCTCTTGCACATCCCCCACTGGGGATATGCCTACAACCAGGGTACCTGCCCTTGACCGGAATCGAACCCGAGACCCTTCAGTCCACAGGCTGACGCTCTATCCAGTGAGCCAAACCAGTCTCGGCTAAGAAATATTTTCAATTCAGACATTCTGAATAAATAGGTAGGCTCTAAGAAAATCATTTCTCTGAATGTCAACTTCAAATCCAATGAGATAAAAAGCTTCCTATTTCTTTAGAAAGGAAAAGTTTTCCCCCCTCTTAAATCATTCATTTACAAGAGGAGAATATCCCAGATATTCAAAGGACCTTAGTGACCATAAGTAAACTTATACTTGTCATATGATGATTAATACAAATACCTGATTTCCCATTTTAGTTGTGCCTTTTCTCTGTTTTATCAATTCAAATTCTGGCCCAGCCGGTGTGGCTCAGTGGTTAAAGCATAATTATCTCATATCTATCACTATCTGCACCATAGTTCAAGACCTAATTATCTCTTTTCTGGACATAATAACCATATATTATAGCTGATTTTTTCACTCCCTATCTCTATCAGTTCTGATTCATTCCACACACTATTTACATACTTACCAAAGCGCAACTCTGCTCAAGTCACTACTTCACCTTTTCCTCCACTCAAAATCCTGAGCTTCCTATGTGCTGCTCTGGCCCCAAACCAGCTCTGTCTTGCTTTCCTCTTGACTGTATCCTTACATGCAGGAATACTTCCTGGTGCATTGCTATTTCCCATTTGTGAGCTTCAGCATATACTATTACTTAGCCTACCCCTTCTTCTCCCATACTCAAGTGCCTGACAAAGCTGCCCCCCAAGCCAAAGCTTAGTAAAACGCTAATTCCTGCATGTAGCCTTCTTTACTTCCTATCAGACACCAATGTGACTACTCCCTTCTTTGAAATGCCATAGCACATTCTTCCTATTTCTTATATGGCGTTATTCACATCCAGACTTGGACTAAGACTGATAGCAAGGACTCAAGCCAAACTCTATATTTCAATCCTGGCTTTCTACTGATTGTGTAAGTTATTTTATTTCTCCATGTGCCACTTTTATCCTCTATCAGATGACATAATAAAAGTTACTGTTTCATACAATTATG